AGGAAGGAAGGAAGGAAGCAAGCAAGCAAGCAAGCAAGCAAGCAAGTAAGTAAGTAAGTAAGTAAGTAAGTAAGTAGCTAGCTAATTAATTAACTAACTAACTAATTAATTCATTAATCAATCAGTCAATCAATTGATTAATTCATTAATTGATTAATTAATTGATTAATTAAACTAACCTTGTATACCAAAAAATAACTAAAACTAACTAACCAGCTAAGCAGCTAACCAGCTTAATTAGCTAATCATTTAAATTAATGAATTAATTCATGTATGAATGAATTGATTAATGAATGAATCAATGAATTAATTCATGAATTAGTTAATGAACCAACTAACCAACCAACCAACCAGCCAACCAACGAACTAACTAACTAACTAACTAACGAACGAACGAACGAACTAACTAACCAACCCACCGCCCGCCCGCTCGCCTGCCCGGCTGGCCAGAACCGTCATGACATTCCTCTCCACTCGTATTCGGAGTAAGCATCGAACTGCAAGGACGGTGGAAGGCGCCCTGGAGTGCCAAACAGAGGCCACAACACCAAACATCTCAGAGCAAATTCTCTTGCATGTCGTGCTTGTTGGAGCCTCGGAGGCGGAAGCACCATGATACCGGTAGCGTGCGCAGCTGAGGGCACCTGACAGCTGGTTCAGTTTGCCACCTGCCCGCCACAAGCGGGCCTCGAATGTACTGCGAGGAGCACATCACCCGGTGGTGCATGCGGCGCCATGGGCTTAGTAGTGGAACTCAGTTAGTCTATCTGGATACATGCATGCACGTACATATACAGACACATACCCAAAAAAGGCGTAAGGGGACCACCCTGCGATACTGCAACGTCGACACTGAGGCTTATTCGCCTGGGCGAGAAGAGGCAACGAACGGAGGCCCTTTGGCGGCTTGTCCGAGCCCCTTCTCGGCGGCCCTCGGCCTCGGCCCTCTCTGTCAGGGAGTGCGCTGGACGCCAGTCACAGTGCCAACCGACTGTCGCTGCAAGCTGAGCTCTCGATTCTCGCAAGTTGAGCTTTTTTTGGCGACTGGGGTTCTCAGGTCGACTCAGACGACACCTCTGCGGAAGAACTCGTCACGCTTGCACATCGGGTTGAACGGCACGCATCCTGCCGGAACGGCTTCGGGCCGGACCGCACAACTCGCCAAGTGAGTCTGAGTCAACCTGGAGCTGGCTTTCAAACGAGAGGACTTCCATTGCACCAGACTCTGACCTCCGCAATTCCGTGAGTGAACTCCAGCGAGCTCGCCCTTGACCTCAGTTTTCGCTGTTAGCAGAGCACACGATATTCGTACATCCCACACGAGTTTGGCTCGACAGGAACCCTGGTGCCGTTTCAATCTCAGCATTCGCTTTTCCCTCACGTGAGTGAGCATCAGTGCACCATTGGGGCAAGCATTGTGCTTCCTTTCCTCAGGACCCCGATGGCAGCCCACACACAAGTTCGGCCACAAGTGCAGCCACAAGCGCATGCGCATGTGCACCCGCACATGCAGCAGCAAATGCAACAGGCGGCGTGACCGTGTTAAGTGTCCTGTTCTCGATCTTGGCCACTGATAGGTGCGCAAGGTTCCCGGCGCCATGGGCCTGCGCTCTGGGTACCATTCTCCTAACGTTCAGGCGAGGGAGCTCGTAGTTCAGGGGGTTGCCTGGTGTGACTCTGTGTGACTCTGTGTGGCTCTGTGTGGCTCTGTGTGGCTCTGTTCCATGACTGAGCTGATTGCAGGCACGAAGCCCAATGCCGGCTGGATGCCACCACATCCAGATCTGAGCCATGACTGGGTTCTTTCTGATGTGAGTCTTGCGGTCGTCATCCTTTGGTGATCTTTTCGTGTGTGGGTCTCTAGCGTGTGCAATGGCCATAGACAATACTCTTAACGGCCGTTCAGGCCGATTGCTACTGTAATGCAGCAGAGAAAGGACGACACCAACCGCCTTTGCAGCAAATTCCTCGCTTTGCGCGACGCTAACAATGCTGTGTGTTTCAATTTCTTACCTCAGCCCTTATGCTGAGATGCATGGCCCGATCGACCTGTCATAACGTGCCCCTGGCCCTCGTGGGAACATTGCTCTTACTACTGAGCCTTTGTGCGGGGTTCAGATCAAATGGTCGGCGGGAAGCTCTGAGTGCTTAAATCTGCGCTCATAGAGGCGATTGCTGGGAGCTGAATAGCGCCGCGCCTGATGGCTTTAACACGCATCCGCGCCAAATCGCGCAACGAAATGAGTGGAGGTGGCAGTGCGCAGTAGGGATAATCATGAATTGTCTGACTCATCAGCTGCATCCATCGGGGGGATGAGAGGAGGGGCCGGATTCTTGAGATTTACGACAGGCATTCCTGAACTCGGGCGCCTGCGGACGCTTTACAATGCCTGCACGGTCCGCACGGTCCATGTGTAGTTCATCATGCGTCAAGTTGATGCAGCCCTAAATCTTCGCGGGAACAGCCCTGAATCCTGTTCAGTAGCAGGTGTCTGAGGGGCCTGGCGTGCCAGATGTGAGTACATGAAGATTCGTGGGAGGCAGGCTCAAGCGAAGCTGAAGGCTGTGTAAATCTGCCCGCCTTGGCCACGCAGCATGGCGAAGCAAACCCTGAGATATGCCATGGTCGGTGGTGGCCAGGGTTCATGGATCGGTGAGGCACACCGAAAGGCTCTGGCTTTGGACAACACTGCCAGGCTCGTCGCCGGCTGCTTCTCTTCCAGCCGAGAGCGGTCGCAGGCATTTGGCGACGCTTTGGCTTTGCCAGACTTGCGCGTTTACGGCTCGCCCGCGGAGCTCGCGGAGAAAGAGGCGGCTCTTCCAGCAGACGAGAGGCCGCACTTCGTCGTCATCTGTACACCCAACCGGCATCACTTAGAGCAGATTGAACTGCTGGCTGCCAAGGGTTTCCCGATTGTCTGTGACAAGCCGCTCTGTGAGACTCTGGCCGAAGGAAAGCAGGCCCTGGCAGCCCTGGGCGGCGGCCTCTTGGCCCTGACTCACTGCTACGCAGGATACCCCATGATCAAAGAGGCTCGGTCTCTGGTCAAGAAAGGTCGCTTGGGCACGCTTCGCAAGGTGGTTGTAGAGTATCCACAAGGCTGGCTTGTGCCAGAAGAGGCTAAGGATGGCAAGCCGGCGATGAGTGCCTCCACCGGTGTCTCTAGCATGGTCGACGTGGGCACACATGCGGAGCATTTGGCTCGATATGTCACTGGCCTCGAGACCAAGGAGGTCTTTGCAGACGTATCTAGTTTTGTCACTGGCGGCCCCCGTGCGCCAGACGACTTCAATGTGCTGATCCGCTATGAGGGAGGTCAGCGGGGAGTGCTGATTGCGTCGCAGTCGTCATCGGGGGAGCAGAACTGCTTGCGCCTGAGGGTGTATGGCTCGGAGGGATCTCTCGACTGGATGCAGGAGGATCCGAACATCCTTACGATGCGCCTGCGTGACCAGCCGGTGCAGACGCTCCACCGTGGACAACCCTACCTCAGCCCCGAGGCACGTTCCTGTTCCCGCCTTCCACCGGGCCACCCGGAGGGTTATTTGGAAGCCTTTGCCAACATCTACCGCAGCTTCGCTGCTGCAGTGCAGGCACGGGACACTGGCGCGGAGGTTCCAGAAGTCGACTTCCCCACGGCAGCAGATGGCATTGCCAGTTTGGCCTTTGTAGAGGCAGTTTCCAAGAGTTCTGAGGCAGGTACTTGGGTCCGCGTCTAGTCAGTCTAGTCGTGATTCTCACGTCCAACACGTCTTGAGCTCGTTTTACAAAAGAGCCCCGGATCCTTCAATTCGGAGTCCGGGCTCAGTGGGTGCTACCTGGCCACTTGGGCTGGTGGGCCTGCTTTCATGTTGGACAGAGACGAGGTTCAAAGATGCTTCGAAAAGAGCAGTGCATCGATTCGGTATGCGGTATGCCGTATTCATAGTCTTCGAGACGGCCCTCTCCCTTCTCCTCCTCTTAGCAACCCTCACCCGGAAGATGTAGGGTCGGGCTTCACTTGCTTCAGAGCTTGCATAATAGTTCCAGACCGGACAGCTTGAGTACTGGGCATTTCGTTCCTTTGACCTGTGCATCAGGCACGACCCGTTCACCAACGCTGGTATTTGCATCGAGGCTGACGTGTCTTATCAGGTGGACATGCAGGCTGAAGGAGCACGAGGCTTTTGGAACCGCCTGTGCTGCCAATACGGCCTGTCGCTGCAGGTGTTCTTCTCTACCGCAGCAAACTTGCGGTAGTTTAGGATTTTGACACATGGATCAACTGCGAATTGACCGCCAGGTCCCGCACAGAAGCGCGATCTGGAAGTGTAGTTGTTCCATGTGTCTAAGTCAAAACAGAGTACTTCGACATCCAAGTCCAGGCTGGCGCACACCCGTCTTTCACAACGGCATGGACACATGAGGTTTATCCAGTGGGTTCCCGGGGTTTAACTTGGCTAATGCTCGCACTCCAAGAGAAGGCACAAACAGCCACATCGAATCTTCGTTGCGCTATTCTGACGGCCTGCAAAACGGCCTTGTCCGGCGGATCCAGTTGCGGCCACGACACCAGTTGTTGAGGGAGAGGAGCACAATCGTGGCCAGAGGTTCGAGCGGAGCAATCACTTGCGTCGAAGGTTTGGTTTGCGAGGGAAAGCTAGCAAACGCGAGAAGCACCGGAAGAGGCCGATGGCCTGCCGTTCATATCCGGCACGATTGTTTGATTTTGGCTGGAGAAGGCGAGATCGGTGTCCAAGGCCATAGCAGGTGCCGTGACCCGTGCAGGAAAAAGCGTGTGCATGCACAAGCCTTGGACCGAAAGACGTTGGCCTATCCAAGTAGGATGTCGGCCAAAAAGCCAAGTGATATCCTGCGGGTCCAGAGTGATCGCTTAAGTTGTGGATCAAGCAAAAAGAGTTCGTGCCAAAAGCAGATGATGGGGCGTGTTCGTACATTAATTATTTAATGAGTTCATACTACTTACTTGCAGGTTCTTGCCAGACATGCAGACATCCTTCGAAGCAGTGGTGGCGATGGCTTTGGAAGCGAGCTTTCTTAAAGGCATACACTCGTGGAGTAATGCTTCGTTTGACGACGGTTCGCAGATGCTGGGATCAACGCAGGATATGCAAGCGCAGGTTGTATTCATGAAAGCACGGGGAAAGCGTTCAACGGCCTAGTTGCGATCCATATAGGCTTAAGTTTTATGTGCTTATCATCATCATGAGGAAAGGAGGATTACGCCGTGAGCATCACTTGCACCCGGCATGCGGTATCAATAATATCTTGCGGGGCGACACGCAGAGAGCGACACCCCAACTCGTCCACCATCGTGATGGAGCCTGTGGGTGGTTTGTACCGAAAGGTAGTCATCGGCTCCGGGCTCAGGACTTCGTTGTGATGCAAGACACATGGAGGTGGCCCTTTGAGCTGAATGTTCACTGAAGGCAAGGAGCAGAGCCACCGGACCAGCTTCATGACCGGGCACTTGCTGTGGCAGGACTGATAGTCTTGGAACCAAAGCCATCGTTGCACCTCCTTGCGCTCAAGAGTCATCAAATCGCAGAGCTTGACATGACCGTCCTGGGCCATGTTTCGCTTGCTTTTTCAATCAGGATCGATTGCGCGTTGAGCAGCAGCAGCGGGACAAACAGCTTAGCAGCTGGCACAAGAAGCCCCGATCTTGGGGCCTGTTCCAGCATGTTCCAGCGAATCGCTTCTCCAAATCTCCCTGCTAAAGGCTGGGGCTCCATCCGCCAGGGCTGGCGAACCCGGAAGAAGGCGCGGACAGGAGCTCTGGTGCTGCTTCCACGCTGCAACTCATCTTTGCAGGCAGTCAGCTTTTCGAGACCAGGACAGGCTCGAAGAACTTGGCAAAGCTTTTGTTCTCCGGGAGCCGCAACTGTCAGCTTCACAGCGGAAGCTGCTCCGACAGCACGGAAAGTGAAGGCATAGGGCAGCATCCTGGAAGAGACCCCCCCGTGCATGGAAGCAACAGTGGCAGGATGGCGAGAGATCGGCTTCTTTGGCAGGACTCGCAAGGACTGCTCCCATGCATCTGTGCAATGTTGAAGCGTTTTCAGGATTGCAGGAACTGCCACTTCATGCCGCTTTGCACACTCCCTGTGGCCACGTTCTATCTTGTGAGCTTCATCGCCGTAGTACGGTTTGCGCTGAGCACGCAGGTCCTGGCAGTCGGAATCCTGACCTCGAGCTCCCAAGCTGCAGCGAGGTGCTTTTTTTTCTCCTCTGCGTGTCACCTCCGTCACCGCGCGGCCTCGTTCTTGCCGAACCGGCTGGAGGGAATCATAATCAAAAGTTGGGGCTTGTAGCTGTCATTGTTTTCTGATTGCCAAAAGAGAAGCATGCAATAAGACTGCCAGGGACAGGAATGCCCTGACCGGAAAATGGATTACCCGTGCACTGTTTTCAAGTAATTAATTCTGAGCTGTTGGACCGTTGGATTTTTCTTTTTGTTGGTGTAGGCGGTGGGGTGCTTGGAAGCTGCAGACAACACTGGTCCCGTGCGGACGTGTCGGCATGGGCTCTGGTCCTGAGGTGGTTCAGCAACACATCCCGTACCAGGGTATTCAACATGACTTCGTTACTCTGCGTTGCATATAGTTAGCCCTCCGACCGCCCAGGACTTTGGCTGGTCGTCGTGAAGCTGAGCGACAAGGCCCTACTCGGGCATCGCATCGTGCACTCTGCATCCATTCCGAGTTAGTGAGCCACTCCTCGAAGAAGCGCCTTACCCATGACTGCCGACGCTGCGCTCCAAAGTTCGGCTGGACACTCTCAGGTTGCGAAGCTCCCGTCCATGCCAACTTTCAACCTGACTAGGGCTTCCGTCCTTGTCCTGGTAGTGTCAAGCAACAAGCGACCACTGGCAGCCATGGTACGGCGGCGGCGGCGGCGGCGATGAGCCCGTGCCATTGCCTTGCATAAGCAGAACAGATTGCAGCAAAGCTAAGGGAGCCCCATTCAGGGATCTGTCACATGCCCCATCACACTGTGATCCCATTCATGACATTTGGCTTGCACAAAAGGTATAGGACGATTGTCGGCATTGTGGCGCTTGCCATCCTTCTGCAAGGCAAGGCCTCTTGGCACTGCTTGGTCTTCGAAACGGACAGTGGCAGAGAAGCCCAGGTGTGCCTCTAGCGCTGCTCTCTCGACTTGCGGGCCCGGCACCGACATCTTGTGAGGCATCTGAGAAAGTGTCTGGGCCTTTTGTGGGGGGCAGTAGGTGGAGTCTAGCCCTTCAGTTGACGCCTACCTGAATTCCCTCATGTCTCGCAGCCCTCTCGCTGCTTGTAAAGGCCATCGTGGTCCTCGGATATGCCATTGACTGGAGCACTGGGCGTGTCCCCGAGGCGCCACCCCGTGTCTGCGAGTGCACATTGCTGGCGCAAAGCTCGATCACGTCGCCAGGGTGGCTTGCTCTCGCAGCGCTTGGCGCTGGCGCTCACCGCCCTTGATGAAGCTCGCATGCCGCATGCCGTTAGACCGTTAGACTGGATCGAGAGCAAACGAGTTCGCATGGACACCTGCTTATGTACATGACATGTACTTAATACAACTACGACGACGACCATTGCTACCTGCAATCACCTACAAAACCTTAGTACTGCTGCTACTGCTGCTGCTACTACTACTACTACTACTACTACTGCTACTACTACTACTACTGTAACTACTACTACTACTACTACTACTACTACTACTACTACTGCTACTACTGCTACTACTACTACTACTACT